GTATTCCTTTTAGTTCCAATTTTTTTGTGATAGAGTTACTATTTTAATGATCATCATTTTTTCAAATATATTAAATTGTTAATTATTATGACTTATTTCTAACATTTAAATAATAATGAAAAGATATTTGCTCAAACAACTTACATTATTACAATAAAACTTGCATTAGAAAACATTACAACCCTTACATACTGAAGAAGAAAAGAAGCATGATGAAAGAAGATCCTTCCCTATCTATAGGTTTCAAGAAGAAACCAATTAGATTGTTTTATTAAAACCAACTTAGCCTTATTATTACTTTGAAAAAGACCGTTCAGTGCACTAAGCTCTCATCAGGTGCAACATCTGAAAAAGAATCGCACCACAAAAGTCTATAAAACACGTAACAGTTCATATAAACTTCAAATAAAATTCTCAACTTTCCCAATCCTCAAATAAATTGGAAAAATGGCAGTCTTGTAGGGTTTTCCATCTTCATTCCAAGCACTTGTAAATTTCTCAACAACATCATCATTCAAAAGTTCCACACCTTTTTCTTTTGCATATTGATAAGCTGATAATGACTTTTAAGTAATTGAAATAAGAACCCAAATCCATCACTTTCTCTATTTTAAACTGATCAAATATTGGTACCACTCCATTATTTGTTGGGTTTTAAAAAAGGTGTGATTGAAAATTGAAGATTTGCGACTTTTATGAAGAGTTGTGACTTTAATGAAATGTTGCGACTTTTATGAAAAGTTGTGACTTTTATGAAAAATTGTGACTTTTATGGAAAACTGTGACTTTTATGAAAAGATGACGACCTTTCTGAAAGATTGTGACTTTTCCAAAGGTTTGTGGCATTTCCAGTAAGGCACAATAAGAATCTTTTCGCTCTACCCTTTGTTTTCTATAAATTGAGGGATTTCCTCTCATTTTAATATAGAATTCATAGGCTTCTTCTTCAACTACTAAATCTAGTATTCTAAGTGTACTTTACTGCCGTTGAGTGGTTCGCTGACACCGGAAATTTTTGGTATCTATACTCTGGTGATTGAGATCATTTTACCCTGGGAGGTTATATTCCATATCAAACCTTGGATACTAGAGGGGAATAATTTCCTTAAGGGGACACTGTGAGTTCAGTGAACTTTGATTTTTTTCCTATTAAAAATTTTCCAGATTCTGGTACGTGTTTTACAAATTTTAGATTTGTGAATTAATTTCAATTCTTCTATTCTTTTGTTCTTCACTGGTTTATTGAACTTGGTAACTTCGTGTTTCTGCAAAGTTTGTTGGAATCAGTAAGATTCTTTAGACGCATATTAACAACTATTCTTCTTTAAGAAAAATATTTCGTATATTTTTTTTAAAATTTATTTCTGATTTTAGTTTCGCTACTAATTTTAATTTTCTAATTGTAAAAATGTTCTTAAACTTTGTTGTCTTACAAAGATATTCAAAGTTTTATTCTAAATATGTTTGAAATACAAGATGAACAACATTATTATTATTGTCACATATTGGCTCAAATGGGAAATCAATAGTTTTATACTTGTCATCCACTGATTTTCTTGTTGGTTCCCAATCAGGTTGAACGTTATAATATTTGTTGAAAACTGAATCCACTGAATTATTTATATTTGGCAATTTGTAACACCATGTTGCAATTCCATTTGGTTTTTTTATTACTTGTTTGTAGAAATGTAGGCGATCATCAAACCAGTGTAATGCTTGAGCAATTGTAACTAAATCCACACTTGATTTTTTTCCAACTTTTTTCTCTAGTTCACATATTGACATCTTGGGATTAGTACATATATATTGAACATTTGGAACATTGGCTGCAAATTCTAGCTGTTTTGGACTTTTATCTGTTGCTATTACATCTTTGTAGAGCTTAGCCAACTGATGTAAGGAGAAAAAAAAGAGAGCAAAGGGTCAAAAATAAAAAATAAAATTGAGCTATTATCAATTACTTGCACTATTAGAAAATCACTATTTTTTCACTAAAAATGTTTAATAGTTATTCTCACGGATATTGTGTTTGAATAGGTGAGAAAAGAAAAAATAAGGAGTATAATGTTTTTAGAAAGTTTCTCACTATTTCATTGAGAATCTATTTTCTGCCCATTTGTTTCTAGTAGTGTTATCAAAACACATATCAATTATCAATTGTTCACTTAAAATATCACCACGGTTCATGTAGAAAAAGTGAACGTGTTTTGATAAATATTTGATGATAATTCACCTAGTAAACTCAAACACCTAATAATTCATGTATGATAGAACTTGAAAAAAAATCGAGATAAAATATGTTATTGACCATTAACTAAAGAAAAAAGTGTTAACATTTTGGACAATATTGGAAAACAATCGACATTTTATTTCAGAAAAGAAAAATATTTTAACAAATTATATATGTAAGCAATTTATATAGTTATTTTTTAAAAAAAATTATTACTCCACATTTTGAATTTGTCTGTCTTACTTTTTTTTTTTTTATATATCCATTAAAAAAATATTCCTTTCCTTTCTCCTTGACTTCTTAATTCTAACTTCTCACCCAACAAGTTTAAAATGACAAAACTAAAAGACATTTTAATACATGATCCAAAAAAATCTGTTATTTTAAACTTTGTGTTAAAGTTAAATACGAATGTATAATAAATTGAATAAAGCAGTAACATTAAATTCTACGTACACCACGTAACATAACTATTAGTTAGAGAGGCTTACAGATTTTGCAGCCTGGCCATTACCAGTGCCAATGTCCCAAGCTAGGTTATGGGAAGGTGTCTTAGACGCAATGAAATTGAACAATTCTTCAATAAAGTTGTGCCTGTTGGATGAACAACCTTGCCATAATTTTTTTAATATAATAATTAACTAGCAGTAAGTATATATTTCTTCTTAGATACTATTTAAAAAAAGAGAATTTATTAGCTCCTCAACACATATATATAGTAATTTGTATGGACATGGTGGTAGGTAGGAAATAATATATGGCAGGTAGAAAGTAATTTAGATAGCCTGACCACTTCTTTTATTGCATTTAATTGGTGCACTAGTATTGAAACCGTTTAAACGTGATTTAAAAGTTAAAATTAACCGAAGAGGTTATTTCTTTAGTATATTTAAAAGAAAATTAAAATCATTAATAAATATTTGGGAAAATGGTCAAAAATATCTTCAACTTTGATTTACTGTTTGATTGTACCCTCGTCGTTAAAATAAAGTTAATTTTATCTCTCCCGTTATCAATTTCACCAAATTTACCCCATATTTAACGGAATCCCAAAATTAACCCAAATTGACCCGGATTTTAAATTTTTTTTTGGTTATTTTAACTCAATTGCCATCTGCTGTGGACTAATTTGATTCTCCTAATTTACTTAAATATCTATGTCCCTATCCACAAAGAAAATACATTATTGTTTAGGTGTAATCAATAAAAAGGATTAGAAGTTCCAATATCTTGATTCACTCTGAGGAAGGGATAGTAATGTGCTGAAAGGAGAGTTGCAGGAACAACCATGGAAAATTTGGGAGAAAAAGAGATTATCTTAATCAAAGAAAGAATGAATAAAGGAAACTTGAGAATAATCGGGTTATTTTAAATGGGATCGGATCATTGGATTAAAATAAAAAAATGGTTTTTTTTAAAACTCTGGTCAATTTGAGTCAATTTTGGGAATTCCGTTAAATGGGGGTAAATTTGGTGAAATTAATAACGAGAGGGATAAAATTAACTTTATTTTAACGGCGAGGATATAATCAAACAATAAATCAAAATTGAGGGATATTTTAGACTCTTTTTCCTAAATATTTTAGTAAATATATAAGGAATCCCATAGTGTAACATAATAATTACAACCTGTCTCGACTAATTAACTATTTGCATAAAATCCCTAAAAAATGCCGTCACGTGATACTTTACTACCAATTGATACATAGAAAGTGATACACGGTAATTAAATAATTGTTGGGATAAAAAAGGGAGAAAAAAACGAAGATTTAATTTGGTTATTTAAGTTAGCTTAAGTTACGGTAACTGATCATAAGAAATCCATAATTCAGCAGGTAATTGAATTACACCTTTCAAATTTCAAAATTCAAGATTATGTCATCTAGATTGAAGAAAATTTTATGAACATCCATTGAAAAGGCAAAAAATACGAATTAGATTTATGTTATTTTGACTGATACATGATGAATACACCAATTTTACTGAGGCATTCAGAAATTTGGGTGAGCAAATTGCAGTATGAAAGTTACAAAAGCAATGGAATTGTTGATGGAGATTCAATTTCGTTTTCGAATCTCAAAGCAGCAATTACAGCCGAGTTGGATATTGATGTATCAAGGAAAAATATTGAAATTCGTTATATTGTAGAAGGTAACTCCTTCCAATGAAGGTTAAGAACGATATGGGTGGTAAACTATATTTAGAAGTGAAAAAAATGAGCCAGGATTTGCAATGTATCCATCATGTATTGACACAATTGAAAAAATTGGAGGTATTGTACATAACTTTGATGGAACTTGTGGAGAAATAACATGTGTAGAAGGCACAACACAGGATCCAGTATATGTGATTCGCATGAAAATCCAGAATTTGGAGTTACAAATGTTATAATCGATTCAGAAAGTGTAGAGGTGAAGACATGTCAGATATATAAGGATAAAACAACACTTGTAGATGTGATGACGAAATATAAGATAAAGAACAACTTTAATTGCAAAGTAAAGACTGATCAACAAAGGTATGATAGTGTTTGGAATTTATAGATCAATACATGCTGATACATTAATTACATAAAAGTTTACTGATTTCTGTAGGAACATTCATGTAGCATTAGTTCGTTGATATTTTGAGTTAAATATGTTTTAATCTATGATTCACTATTTTGTTAAGATTACTGATACATTGAAAAAACTTTATTGATACTTTAATATACTACTGCTGATATATTAAGGACTTTATTAATTTCAACAATCATAATAAAAAATTATGATACGTGTAAAAATAATTTTCTTCAAAAACAGTTGATACATTCGTGTAATTCATTGTTTTATTACTTTAAACATTATTGTTTTGTATATTATACAATGTAATTGTTATATGTATTAATATGATGAAAAAATGTACACAACTATGTTTTGGTATGCTTTTCGGACGAATGTGGTTGGACTATGAAGGCTTCCTGCAGAAAAAAATATGATATTTTCATTGTTAGAAGTTTCAATAGTAAACATACGTGTCCGATGAGGGAGGGGGTATTAACCAAAGTCCAAGCAACAGTCGAATTTGTAAGTGGAGTTACTGCTCCAAAATTGGTCAACTATAAACGAATTTATACTCCGAAAGATATAATTGATGATATTAGAGAATTTTATGGGGTTCAAATATCTTACCAGCAAGCATGACGTGCTACAGAACGTGCACTAACCATGATTAGGAAAACATCATCTGCAGGATATAGACTGTTGATACATACACATGTTAAATAGCGTATATCCAAATTCTTATATAAGAATGCAGAAGACTGAGGAAGATGAATTTATGTATCTGTTCGTAGCTTTAAGACTATTCATTAGGGGGTTCAATTACTGCAGACCAATAGCTGTTGTCGATGGTGCACATCTGAGTGGAGCTTACAAAAGGACCTTTGTATCAGCAAGCACACTTGATGGCTCAGGTATGTATTTTTTTTATATTTGTGATGTGTTTGTACATGTTACGTATCAAATGATATAATGTGTGTCTGTAATCAGGTTGCATATTCCCATTGGCATATGGTGTTGTTGACACCAAAAATGACTGTTCGTGGACATGGTTTTTCGAACAATTCAAAAATGCATTTGGCGAGAGAAAAGATATATGTGTTATTTTAGATAGAAACGAGAGTATTATTAAGAGTATGAGGATTGTATTCCCAAATGTACCTCATTATGCATGCATATGACATCTTTGAAAGAATGTATGTGGCAACTTCAAAAGAAGCAGAAAGACCATAAGTGATCTATTGTACTCTATGGCCAATGCATATAGAAAGGAAGATTTTGATAAGTTGATGGCTAAGGTTGATAGAATTGATCACAGGGTTAAAGAGTACCTTGAGGATGCAGGGTATGAAAAGTGGTCAAGAGTTCATGCAACAGTAAATAGAGGTAGAATTCTTGGAAGAAGTCAGAAGTATATTTGGTTCTTGGCATTGCAAAAACAGAGAAGTAGTCTCATATACAAAGGACATATTAGAGAGAAAATTTGAGGAGTTGTTGATTATAAATACGGCTAAAAGTTCAAAGATGGAGGTATGTATCATTATATATTATTTTACATTATATGTATCTAATTCATTGTATCATTCTGCAGTTTGAACATGATTTATTTGGAAAAAATTATATATTTGAATTTTTTTAATGTACACAGGTTGTTCTATCGTCTGAATTTATTTTCTTGGTTTATGAACTGGAAGAAGGTACATTGTTTGTCTTGAGCGGAAAGTATGTTTTTATGGTAGATTTCAACTAGAAGAGATACCTTGTGCACATGCAATCGCTGTATTGAAAGAAAAAAATGTCACATATATGCATCCTTATTGTTGTGATTACTATAAGCCTGATGCATTGGGATGTGTTGGTATCTTTTTTATCTTGTACTTGAGTGGTTGCAAGTTGGAAAAAAAAATACAAATTTTAACGATATTGAATATAAATACTAAATAAAACAACTAATACCTTATTGATATATGATATCAGTTTTCAAAGATTCATACTACATAAAAAAACATCTGATACACATTTAATTCATGTATCATTGAATCGATTAAACACCATAACACACTGAATCGATATGTATCAAAGATATTGTCTGATACATGATAACAATTTTCAAAGACTCGTGATAAATAGAAAAACAACTGACACACAATTAATCCATGTATCATGAAATCGACTAAACACTATAACACACTATAACTATATGTATCAAACGTATTATAACTTTCGGAATATCTTTGTTTGGCTCCTTCCGAAAATTCAAAGGATTATGCAAATACTTTTTTCTATTTTCTTTCCAATCTTCACCATCAGAATCATACATCCTTCGACTCGTAATAGGATCCATATATATGATGTAATATAACAATGAACAAGAAGAAAAAGAAGAACCAGAGAACAGGATGATGGAGTAAGAAGAAGAAGAAGAAGAACTAGAGAACAGTGGTTGTTCCAGATTTCAGAAAGTTCAGTTTTTTTTTTAATTTTGAAATTCAAAATTGCATATTAATGTTGATGAACCACAGAAACGTGTTTGATTGAGATATTGATAATTTGAAATTCAAAAAATATCAGTTGATTGAATGTATTTGTGGAGAAAAAAAGGCATGATATTGAGGAAACATATGTCAGAGGAGAGAGAAAGTTATGTATCTCCAAATTTATGATTAAAATATAAAAAAAGAGATTTAGATTAAAAAAAGATTTAAAAAGGAAAAATTAGAAAATAATAAACTTATAGTTGTATATTTAAGTTATTTTTCCAATATTTTATAATGATTCTTTTTCAACTGATTATACTAACCAATTTATTTAATTTTTTTTTTTGAAGTATCTGCGTGGTCATGGTACGTAGTATCTGAGTTTTCAACAATTTTACCTATGTGCGACATGTTTCAATTGTACAAAAGCATGTGAAGTATTAATATTTAGTAACGTGACAAAGAGATGAATCACGGGAGCTTGCATCAAATTTTGTGCTTTTGTATAGTATAATTTGTAGTTTATGAAAGTTACCAATGAGTGTTGGAATTGGGACGGACATAATTATCTTATTTTTTAAAATTGAAGATTTGGGTTTGAGCCCTAGAAATTAACGGTGGCTCCACCTTTCCCCACCCGGCCTCGAGACAAGCCCCCCACTCCCTCGAGGCGAGGCCCAACAAACCCGGCCTCGAGCCGTTGTTGCTTAATGGCAACAGGCTAAATCAAAAGCAGGAAGAAAGCAAATGACACATAAATGCATGATGTTTCAAGAATTTGGAAAAATTTTACCTTCCATATTTACTGAATGCAGATCATGTGAACTGGTCCGTGAAGACAGGTGTCCCACATAGAGGTGAGTGCTATTTCCCATCCGATCATCATAACGAGGCATCTGTACACACAATTCTCAAACTGAAAACCTGCACAAAACGAAAATAATATAATTTTATAACTCAATCCGTTCACAAATATTTTAAATCACAACCTTGTGTCATTTGGTTACAAACTTCAACAATAACAATCTAATATCAATGAAAGAAGCTAATACATAAATATAATTAATCAATTATTATCTTCCCCAAGGGCGAAGGCCTAAGTTTGCTATATTTAGTCTAATAGTAGGCAAACGAAACAAGTAAAATTATTACCAATCAAACTTGAGACTTATGATTTCTCAAGAGGCATACTGTTAGACAACTTAAATGGAGTAATAACAAATTTTTAAGGGGGTCCCAAATATTTGGTAGGGGGTCAACGTGCATGTTCATGGTTCAATTCAAAATCACAAATAATAGTGAAAACTATATTCTTCCGTTTCAAAAAGGATGACATAGCTTGATTTGGAACGGAGTTTAAGAAAAGAAAGAAGACTTTTTAATCTTGTGGTTCTAAATTAAAGTTATGTCAAATGTATCAAAATGCCCTTTAATATTGTGGTTTTAACATGTCAAGTGGAAAGATAAAGTTAAAGTATTGCCAAAAAAGGAAAATAGTCATTCTGTTTGAAACAAACTAAAAAAGAAATAGAGTCATTCTTTTTTAAACGGAAGGAATAATATTTAATGACAAACACAGAAACGTGTGGCTTTTCAGATACCAAATACTCCAACGATTTGGGAATTGGGACAATACATTACATGGTGAAATCTAAACTATATGTGACTTAGTCTTATTTTCTTTACAGGTAATGTGGCTTCCACCAGGTTAACTGATCACTCACCAGCCACCCGTCGAACTCTAAAACCTATTTAGACACATTATTTAAAATTTATTTTAAAAAGTACACAAATTATTTCCTTTCAATTCAAGATTTATTTGATTAGAGATATGGTGTTGACTTTTTTCAATACATATATATAATGCATGTGAGATGGGTGATGAAGTACTAAGACTATACTCACCAGCACACAAATGTACAAAGGCAAGTTAGAGAAGACATTCAAGTGGATGACTTGGTCATTCCTAATGGAACAAATATGTGGATTGATGTGGTGTCCATGCACTTAGGGGTGAAGATGTGAATGAGTTCAAACCGGAAAGGTTTAAGGATGGCATATATGGTGGATGCAAACACAAGATGGGATTCATGCCTTTTGGCTTTGGAGGATGGGATTTGACTCTGATGGATTCTCCTTAATCTTGACAAGGTTCTCTTTTACCATCTCACCTAACTATAAACATTTTACCTCTATCATGCTTTCTCTTAGACCCACACTCTTATACTCCAACCTCTTTTTATTTAGCATCTTAGAATAATCATCAAACTAATACCTAGTTAAGCTATGAGAGGCAATCAAATTTGTCTGAATTTTGTTTTTGTACTCTACTATTCTACTACTTTTTTAACATTACTGGGAGAAAGAAGAACGAAGACTTACAGAAGTATACCTCATTTTCCATGAGCCGAATTTACGTACTGATTATATCATACAAAGTGAATACATAACAGTTGAATACCTACTCATGACAAGTGATACTGAGAGAGTGAGCATAACAAATGAATATTAAGTTGCAGTAAAATGATTTTCCTTAGAGATATTGAATCGTGAAAAAAATATATTGTGCAACCAAGTGATCAACAAACTGAGAGAACCATAAGATTTCAAGTTCCAACAAAACAAAAAATACTAGATAACTTCTTTCCATTCATATAAACCTTATATAAGTAGTACCCAATGAAATAATCGAAGTGCGCAAAAGCAATCCAGACACTATCGTCATTACCAAACGACAAACAAAAAAAAAGAATATTACAAATGAACATATAAGGAAAGAAAGCAGGTCAAACTCTTCCAACCTAATTGCAACCAATTAACTATGGACTCTATAGGCCGGACGTCTTCCTTTCTACCGTTTTACTACTAAAGTCGATCAGTTAAGCTCATACTGAACACTACAGAAGGAAAATAAGGATAAAGGGTCCATTCAGGCAGAAGTGAAATACACACTCACAAGAAATATAACAAATTTCTCAAGTAGTAACCCTTAGTGAATATAACGTGATTCCATTTGTACTGATTTTTTTTGAAAGAAATTAACCAAAAACCCTATGGTTTCCACACTCATTTTTTTTAATGAAGTAATTAATTCTCTTGCAGGCATCAAGTAGATGCATAATAGTTACAAAAACTTAGTAGCAAAAGATTAGCTCTCCTTTACACTGTTAATTGAGAATCAGGGAGCGGACATGATTCAGAAATGAATCAGGGCAATCTAGAGGGGATAAATAAACCAACTATACAAAAACATGAGGCAGTTCTACATGACTTGTGATCTAAATTCAGAGTAATTGTAATAATGAGCTATGCAGCATCTTAATTTCTCATATTTAGAAAGCCCTTTGGTACTCCTCTATACATCTAAAGATATAGTTAATGAGCAATAAAATAGTCTTTAGCTAACCTTATATCACTAAATCTGTATACAATCTCAAAGAAGGGAATGAATTAGGGCTATGAATTGGGGGGAAATAAGATAAAGGGCAAATTTGCAGTTCGAGATTCGAATTTCTTTTTAAGGGTAAACAATGTAGCAGAGATTATCAACAAATTGGAGTGGATCGATGAAAATACCCAGATTATCAACAAATTGGAATGGGTCGATGAAAATACCCAGATTATCAACAAATTGGAATGGGTCGATGAAAATACCCAGATTATCAACATCTGGAGCTCGTAGAGTTGACGGCATCTCTGGAAGAAGACGATCAACGTCACCGGGGAAGAAGAGATCAAACCGTCCCCGTGTATGCTTCTCTGTTGAACTTTGAATTGTTAAAATTTGAATGTTGTATGCAGACGCTATATATGGGTATTGTTGCAGCCGTTGGGATATTATGACGTTGGAGTAAATTTATTATTTTTTTTCTTTTGCATTCATTTATATAAAATGTATAAAGGAAATTCTTTTACAATAAGTATAAACAAATATTGATTTAGTAAGTATAACAAAATATCAACATTTAATAAATAGTTAAATGTGTTTGATTTTTTTTTAGTAATTTATATATTTATTACGTGATTTATATTTATTGATTTAGTTTAAAAGATCAATTCCTGAAATAAATTATTTAATTACTTCTAATAATATGATTAAAAGTGAGATATCCAGCTCCAAGACAAGGCCCCCGTCCGACACCCGCCCCAAGGCGAGGCCCTCACCCCCACCCCTAAATCCCGCTTGCCTCGATGTGGGCCCCCACCCCCTGCCTCGGCCTCGAGGCATCCCGCCCTGAAGCAAGGCCCCTTGCACCACCACCCCGGACTTCTATACCCTTTTAGGGGAACTTGTTAGATTATAAAAGACGCACCAACTATATATTTTCTATTTTAATTCGAGTTATCAAATCATTAAAAATTTCAAATTTATTTAAAATTGAGTTGAGGTTTACGTTTTACAAAGGAGCCCTAATTAATGAATATATAGATGGACAACTTTCACATATAGCAAACAAAAAATCCATATTTGTATGTTATAGCAAAGTTTGCATAATTGTGCTCCATAGCAAACATAAAACTGTATAATTCGCTATGCATATACAATTGTATAATTCGCTAGCTTAAATTGTATAATTCGCTGGTCTATTTCGCCGCAATTGTATAATTCGCTATTCTATTTCACTGCAATTGTATAATGCACAATTGTATAATTCACTGCTTATTTCGTTGTAATATTTTTATAAAATTTGCTTTGCATACAATTGAATCGAATTAAAATGTATGTATATTGCATTATTATAAGTGTATAGCAAGAAGATATATGTTTTTCTCTCGCTTTATACAAAAACAGAAACACAATATATACACTTCTGTTGTATAAAGCTAGAGAAAATTGTATTTCACTACAATTGTATAATTCGCAATCGTATAATTCGTTGACCCTTTTCTCTGCAATATTTGTATAAAATTTGCATTTGTCTACAATTGAATTGAAGTAAAATGTTTGTAAATTGTATAATTAAGTGTATAACACGAAGATATATATTTTTGCATGTGTATATATAATTTTTTCTCGCTTTATACAAAGCAGAAACAGAAATCATACACTTCTGTGTATAAAGCGAGAGAGGCGAGAATGGGAGAGTGGCGAGCGAGACTTTTGGGAGAGAGGCAAATTTTGGCTAACGTTTGCTATGGAGCACAAGTAAATTAAATCCTAGCTACTCTATTTGTATTAGGCTATTAATTTGCTATTATATACAATCCTATATAAATATCGTCGAAAGAGTCATTCTGGTTTAAGTTCATCTACTCCATGTATGCACTGTCGAGTATGTCAAAGAAAATAGCTTTTATGTCTTTTGTCAATGACATAAACTGGTATCTTTGTCATGTCAAATAAAATAATGACCAAGGAGTCTATTCCAACCCGAGGTGTCCTTCCCCGAGGCTAGCCCCCCATGTGGGCCTCGATGCGTCCTGCACAGAGTCGAGGCCAAATTATAAATGTAATTCTAAGTTATTTAATTTATAATTAAATTAATTATTCTTTTTAGAAAGTTATTAATTAATTAATATTAACTATATTTTAGCTAAACTCATCATTTATTCAATTTGGGTAATATTTCTAAGTTGAACAATACGACGCGAACAGCAAACCCAGAAAAATCGACTCGTCAATTAATAGCAGGTCCAAACGGCGACACTCGTACAGCCAGCAGCCGAACCCGATCTCATCGCTGTCCCCTTTTTCCCCCTTTTGGCAGAGTCTCAGAGCAACAACAGCTCCCCATTCCTTGTTACTGTTGCCTCGAAAAGGAACTAATAGATTGAAAAATCCAACGGATTTTACCTCTAAATCAATGTGGTTTTTGAGTTTGGTTATGAGGCAATAGTAGTTTTACACTTGAAAATTTTCAAACGATTCTCTAATCCTTGGTTCCGAGGAAATCTCTATTCGTAGCTAGTTTTGAACTTCTTGATCTGCTGTTCGTGTTCGAATTGCGTGGTAAAAGAATTGCCGCTCACAAGGTAATATTCATCTCAGTTCAGGTCTCTTTGTTCTTAATCGTGTTGATTATTTGCTTTTGACTATTTGAAGTGTTCCAATGTTGAGACTTTCAGAATATTACAGCTTACTTTTGACTGCAAATTGATGGTGACTTGTTTACTGTTCGAATGTTGGTGTTTTTTTTTCCCGAAGGCTTGATTGACGTCTGTTTAATCTCGAGTTCTTTTCTCCCTCTTACAGTTTTCTTTCATTTCTTTGTTGTCTCTTTTTGTTGGCTATGGAGTTATGAATCAGTCGAGGAATTTTGAATTGCGGTTAGAATTTGTGCTCGGCATTTCTCTTGTTGGTCGATTTTATATTATTGCTGATTATCATAATCCAGATATAGGTATCTGATTTGGGGTGATAACATTTCAATATGTTCTTATTATATATGTCCTGTTGTCAAGTATATCTCATCAATTCAATCATGTCTTCTCATTGAGTTGTTTTTGAATTGATCTTGTGACTTCTGGAGTTTCTTAGAGCCATATGTCTGCCTGATAATTGCTCTTCGTTCAGGTATTTGCTAAATTTGTCAAGAAAACTCTTTTAAGTGGTTTGATTATGGTTCATTGATCACTGTTTCTATACAAATCGTGAAATAGGTCTTGGTCTTGAATGCTGATAAGTTTTCTGAATTAAATTTCAGTTTGTATAGCTTAAGTTACCGATGGATCTATTTGATTAAAAAGGAGCATTTATTATTTTTGAAAGATCAATTCTTTGTCACTCTGTATGAAATTGTAATCATTGTCTTGACATGAGCATGAAAAGATTTTATCTAGCTAACTTTGATCTATATGACTTGCGGAATTTGTTATGCTGCATGGATCATCTCTATATATAGTTGGAGCTTCCTTCGAAAGGGGCCTATATCTGTTGTTTGTCATTTAGATTAGAAGAACCAAGTTTGGCCTTTCTATTTCCTTCATCATTTCCTTCCAGGAACTAATGTATATCTCCAGCCCCTGTTGTGTTTCTTCCCTTTCTCCTTGCAAATTATATTCAAAGCATCATTGTGTTTGCCATATATAGGAGTATTGACTTCCTTGCTCTCCCTGTTTTTCTTACTGTTTGTCATTTCTTGTTTAAAGAATGATAAATCAGTATCATTATCCCTTTAACTTTTGTTTAAGTCTTGTGTTATTAAATGGTGATTGTGGGATGTTATTTTTATTTATTTTATCATTTCATGTCTTCCCCCAAAAGTTAAAAATGCTAATTCTAATTATTTTGTTTAACATTCTTAACTTCATTTATTTAACTATTAGGGCATGAAAGTGTTTAGTACAATTGTTACATTTGAATAAGATCCATGGTCATTTTTTAATTTTACTGTTGCTTTATTGTTTCTTACTTTGCTCTGCAAAATGTGAGGTTGTTAATTTTAAACTAAAAGTTATTCACATTCCCTTTTTAGTGCTGTACTAGACCGTGCCTTGAAATTTCCTTGTGTATGATTTTCATTAGTTAAAATTAATTTTATAACCTCCTATCTTGTATTGAATTTAGTGCATTTTGGCCTTAATTTGGTCTAACAGTGATTGGGTGACATTTTTGGCTTAAAATGTTTAAGTTAATTTTATCCTAATTAAGTTACGTCTTAATTGTTCCTTAGTTCATATGCTAATTTTGTTTGTTATTCTTCTTGATTGTAAGTCGTTCAGATGTTTGAAATTTTTGAGAGTGTTTCGACCTATTGTTAGACTGTAAATCAGTGGTGTAACTTGTTTGCTATTTATGTTGTTTACTTGACTTTTGTCTCCTTGTAATCTTGATGATTTCGTTCCATCTCGAGTTCTTTTCTCCTTAGTAAGGTCCTCTTGTTTCACTTTTTTGGTTGGCTGTGAAAGTTGTGATTCAATGATGAAGTCCGAAATCATTTTCTATGGGTGATTTTGATTTTCATAATCTGATATAAAGGCTATTTCTTCCTTTTGTCATTCTAGTTAGTAAAATCGTATGAGCCGAGTCATTTTACTACTGCTTTATCCCTTTTCTCATGGTCTTTACTCCATCTATATTCAACTAATTGGTATAGTCTATCTATTAGTTGTTTGCATCTCTAGAACTTTTTTCTAAGTTCTAACATTAATGGTCTTACATGCCCTGTTATCCTAAGAAGTTGAGTTTAAACGAGTTGTAAATCTATCTGTTTCAAACTGCTGAAGTATTCTTTTGTGTTGTTTTCTTTGTTAAAGTAAGACAAAATTTAGTGTTTACGTCTAAGTTAAGTTCGATTTAATGTGCTCCAACTTTACTCTCCTTTCACTGCTCAGCTTTGCGTTTGAATCGAATTTAAGTCTCCATTTTGTTTAGATTATAGTCTGAAAATGCCTACCATTTTCAGTTTTTAGTATGAACTTCATAGCATGTTTTCCTTATCTTTGTCTTGTTTTGGTTTTCTTAAGGATATTGTTAATTCTCTTCAAATGTGTTTCATCCCTTCTCGAGTCTTGTGCTGGTATTCTTTTAGTCGTTAGCTATTTGTTTAACTTCGAGATGTATGCTAAAATATGATAGGTAGTTTCGTATTCCTCACAATTATATGATTGACTTTGGTTTGGAGATCTGTTATGATGTAAGCCTTTGCGTATATTTTAAAACAGCCTCGTTTTCATCTTAAGATTGCTCACTGATAACTACTAATATTCATTTTAATAATTAGCTCACTCTAATTATAGATGTTATTCTTATTGTATAAGGTATGGATGAGAATAAGTATCATCCTCTCTTTAGCAAGTCTTGATGAATGTGTATATTTGGAGTAGATCGGACTATTTTTCTCGTGATATTAATATGAACTTGATCATATCTATCCTTGTTCAATTCGATACCACCGTACAATGATCCCCTCTAAATTTTTCGTGGCATAATGATAGTACATCAGTTGTGTGTTGACCTATTTATTTATAATATGCATTTTCTATTTTAACATTATTTTTATCTAGAATTCTAGTTTATCAAGAAATAAGCTTACTGTATTTTCTCTATTTTAGTCTCTTGTTCTGATTTGCAAAGTACAAGTAATGATGTGTTGGAATTGTAATATTGATTCATCTTTAAAATTTTTGAAATCGTGAAATCCCCAATAGTTGATCTGAATTCATTGAAAACAGATTTGATCCAAAGTTGATATCCTGAATCGGGCGCTGATCCGAAGTCACTTCGTATTGTAGGTCCAAAGGCAACCTAAGATTTCTCTGCAACTAGTCGTCTATGGCGGACTTGAGCATTGCTTTTTTCTCTTTCCTCCTCCTTTTCTTCTCTCTATCCCTCCTAGTTTTTCTCGCCTTCATCGTCCGACCACGCCCCGTCAAAGTTCCAATTAAAAATCGCCATGTCTTCATCACTGGCGGCTCAAGCGGTATTGGGTTAGCTCTAGCTCAACAGGCTGCTTCAGAAGGTGCAAAAGTTTCAATACTTGCTCGTAACACTGGTAGACTCAAAGAGGCGAAGGAGTCAATTCGGCTTTCTACTGGCCGTGATGTGGCCATTTTCAGCGCTGATGTGAGAGATTACAAGGCTGTCAAGAAGGCTGTAGAAGAGGCAGGACCAATCGATGTGTTGGTGTGCAATCAGGGAGTTTTTGTACCTCAGGAATTGGAGACCCAAGATATTGAGGAAATCAAGTTCATGATTGATGTCAACTTGACTGGGACTTTTCATTTGATTAAAGCTGCTTTGCCTGGAATGAGGAACAGGTCTAACCGTGGACCTGGGTCCATTGCTATCATGTCTTCACAAGCTGGCCAGGTATGTTCTACCTTCGGTTAAAATATCAACTTCAATGATCTTTTATTCCACTCAGAATTGATTCCATCGGATAACTAGTTCACCACAGAGAGATGAAAAAGGTACATATTAGAGCTGATCAGAAAATGGTTGGCAAGACAGTAAGTGGTTTTAAGTATAGGTATTTTGTTCTCCAGTATGATGCTAATTGTGAGAGTTCATGTTTGTAGTATACCCAAGTGTGAGTTGCTGAGTTGGATTAGAAATAGTTGAGCTCCTAATGGGGCCTTCAGTCCAATCGAAGTTTAGTCCAAAATGCAATAAATTATCTTGCAGACATATTGTTTTATTCTATATGAGCATCATAGTCGACTGGAAAAAAGAAAAAGAAAAAGAAAAAAGGAAATGGTTGAAGATGAGCAAACATAATAGTGGGTTTAATGGACACTAAACCTTATTGCATACAGTTAATATAAGTCTATTTAACATTGGAAATAACTTCTCTTCAATTTTATGCAATTTTGCGCTATATTTAGACATTTATATGCATCTTCTGTTTAAATATTATCATACAACCTGATGGAATACATGATTTTGCATTTCTATTCATAGAATGGCATCTGTATGTATCTTGCAGTATATGTTTTAATTTAGGCATACATAAAAATATGAAAATAAAATTGAAATGTAATGTTTGATTTATATTGTTCTCGTGGTGTCTATACCCACTTGACAAATATTCTCCTACTTTTGATGTCATCTTGATTTTTGATTTATGTGATTAACTACATGCATCAAAAACCAAGAAAGGAGAATGAAGAAAGCCTTAGAGGGTGCTCGGATTGTCTTAAAAACTTGGCCAGGTTTTAAGCTCTTTTTAGTTTTATAGACCGACTATGTTATATGGTGCAAAGTGTTGGCCAATCAAGAAGTCCAATGCCCAGAAGATGAGAGTAACAGAGGCGAGATGCTAGGATGGTGTGGGCATAGTAAGAGAGATAAGATTGGAAATGAAGATACTCGAGCGAAGGTGGGAGTGGCCCACGTGGAAGATAAGATGCAGTAAGTGAGGTTGAGATGGTTTGGGCATGTGAAGAGAAGATGCGTGGATGCCCCAGTAAGGAGGTGTGAGATGTTGGCCGTAGAGAGCTTGAGGAGGGGACGAGGGGTAGGCCCAAAATAATTGGGGTGAGGGATTACACTGGGTTTATTGTTGCAATCATAAAATGTGTGCTGCCATCAGCAGTTTTAGATTCTTTAGGCACATCTACTTCATTAAAAAAAAGATTCTTTAGGCACATCCCATGGATCATTTGTTTGTTCTTTCTCAACAAGGTCAGCAGAAATGGAATCTGAAGGAAACATGCCAACTTCGAATTTGCTAATGTCGAAGCACTCAGTACACAAATCAAATCTTCATGTGTTTTGACTATGACACCATACTCTTGAGCAACCAGCTAAACAAGAATTGCAATGGTACCAGAAAGCTGATTTCTTCAGATTTTACCAGTAATTATGCCACTTATTTTCCATATTTGGCCAAATCATTTGAATCTCCGTTGTGTTGGTCTGGATATATCCTGAATAACCAGGAAATACACTCACATCTTCATGACACCATAAACCTCTGGTATAGCAGGAGATCATCGCTTTCCTGGAAATAATAATTTTGTGAGATGTTGTCCCAAACAATACAACTGCATAGTGCATCTGTTCATATTCACAGTAACCACCAAACAATGAATTACTAGAGGTTCTAGTAAGCACATTTTGACCAGGGTCAGATGGAAAATGGAACAAACACCTTGAGTTATCATGTCCCCACCTATCACACAATTCTTACATCCGCCACTGCTTTCAAGCATTTGGTCGAATGTGGTAAGAAATTGTTGTTCTTTCAACTTGATGCATGTTTGTAGGGATCTTAAAGTGAACAGTACTCAAATTAAACTCTCTAATCGATGAAGAATAGTAGAATCAAGTTCTACCTCAAATTTCTGATCAGATTTTTCATTTTCCCTAGTTTTCGATGACCGGACGGCTTTGAAGCCATTGCGAATGTGGAGAGCATTGATGAACTTTTGTTAGTTCAATGTTCTTACAGAAATTCATAGTGTTGCTGGCCCGATATATCTGCTAGAAATCCTTGGGTCATTCCTTCAAACATTTCACAATCGTTCATCTCTGAACTAGTTTCTCTAATTTTATTTAGTCCATCGATTTCGCTGGTAGAGACCGATCCAGCTTGAGATTACTTCTCAGTCTGCAAAATAGCTTCAGTGCTGCTCTTGGGGAGAAAGATCTTCTCTTTGTTTGTTCTGCAGGTGAAGGCCATTAATAGCCTCCTTCAGTTGACTTATCAATTTAAATGATTTGACAGACCTTGTTCCATCCGGTCTTTTTGATTCATTAATCTTCTGACTAGCAGCAGTCATAGCTGCAAGTCTTCAGCCAAATTCACCCGATTTCCATCATCTTAGGATCTCAGCTTGAGCTCGCAGTTGGTGTGTTCTTCTCCATGACAACAGCCCCAAGAGATCAATGTTTTGATACCATTTGATCAATAATTGTTGGTATCGAAGAACCGAGGAGATAGAAGAGAAGAAAGGAATGTAACACAAGTCTCTGTTGTTAGCTCAAAAGTCAAATGTACTCCCCTTTTGCTCATCTTCTTGATTCTTTCAATGGAACTTCTTACTTAATTAAAAAAGAAGAAGAGAAAAATGAGAGAAAAAGGCATACATGAGGAGAAGTTTAGGAAGAAAACTAGCAATTTGATTATCATTTATCATGATGCAATACAAGTGTTTGATTGATATTTTATACTTCCAGCTATGCTCACATGAAATGTGCTGAAAATGAAATAAAAGGAAATGGGAAGTTAACTTAGGATAAGAAAATGCCAATTTAACAAACTTTCCCACCAGAATTAGCTCTCACACACTTCAGGTAATTTCTTGCTTAGATACTAAATTCTGTATTAGTCAATTTCCCATATATTGGTGGATGTATCTGGGAGAATTGTATTTTTGTAAGGTAACCAAAAACCAAAAGAGGATTGCTTTTAAACTTTTTCTGTAGTGAAACAAATAGGAAAGTAATCTAGCATTGCCGCCAAATGGGTAGACCGGTGGACTCAAGGACATTAGGGGCTAATGTATTCTGGTGTGTAGTTTGCACTAAATCAAGAGCATGTTTGGCGGTAATTTACTAATTTATGAACATGCTTGATTGCATTATACTCTTTTGGGTAACTTGAGTACATCTCTTCAACCACTTCTGCTATCTGCCATATAAGATTTAGGTTGAGGTTAGATGTTAGTCAAAGAAAAATGCTTCATAATAGCTATAGTAAGCAGGAGAAGGAGTAGCTAGTTTTGAGATAAGGACATGAAAGGCTAAACTGCTGCAGAGTATATTTCTGTTGTGAGCTTAACCTGTCTTATTATTATATTAAAGATTTCCTCTGGTATGACTATCACAATACCTTGAGCTGAGAGCGTTGTTCAGAACCAAACTATGGTTTGAACTTGATAACAATGTAAATGACGTCGTGCTCTGATCACGGTTTATATTAGTGGTTTATTTTCAAAGATCTTACTCCCGTTTTCTGGTATAAATAGATTGAGAAATGAAGGTAAAATTAGTGTCATACAGTCTGAGATGATTAAAGAATAACAAAGCATTATAAAGTCTATCTCAATCTCTAAAATTCACCAGATTTATTCAAGATACAATTTGTGCTATTGGTTCTTAAATCTGGAGTCTGGAAAATGTTGGATGGTTTTCTATTTTCTACTTACTTTACCCATTTGCTTACAACCACCAAGGATATTGGAGTTTTCTTTTGTTAAATATCCTATTAACACTTTCAGCTTTAGCATCGCAGGTTCATTGACCATCTAATACTGTAATATTACTACCTTTTTGGAGGTCTCCAGCTTACCTTAATGCTGAGGAATACAACATTATCAGTTTCAAAAAAAAAAAAAATACTGTAAAATTTTAAAATGGAAGCACGCGGAGTAGTTGAGAGCTATAATACTATTATAAAAGTATCTGAACTCGTAACTACTGTGGTATCAACATTTGCAGAGACTGTAAACTTTTCATGCTAAAGTTACTAGCACAGCAAAAGACACTACTTGAAATGCATTTGCTAGTTTTGTCTCTTTATTTAGAATTAGAAAGAAGTAATTTTGTTATGTACCTGACTCACTTTAAGTTTGGAACTCATTATTCTTTGAGGATGGTAGTTTGAGAAAGTGTGGACAATCTTATGATTTTGCAGTACTCTCATTAGGACACAATTCATGTAGACTTTTTGCAAGGCGACACTTTCAGCAGGAGCTTTTTTCATCTTCTGTTCTGATTGATATCTAATCTCTATTGCATTTTTTTTAAATCTCATTCTAGGAGTTTTTGGAGAAACAATGAAAATAAGTTAGATTTGATCATCACAATTGCCCAATTTATTTAATTTCGTTTCCCTCTATGCATTCACATTTACGTGTATTCATCATAAAATATATAACTGAAAGACCCACCACGGCAAATGCTTCCTTAAATAGTAGTTTAACCTGAAGGACTGGAGCTTGGTCTGTGATGCTGACATAATAAAAAGATAATGTGTATCGTTAGCCACCACTGAAATATTTTCTTAAACAGTAGTTTAACCTGAAAGACTGGAAGCGGTCTGTGATAAAATATGGTAGAATCAGGTTAACTTCTTTTCCCACACAATTGCATTAATGTACTTTGAAATTTTTATTGTTAGGTGATTTGGTTTATTTGGTATGTTGTTTTGTCTTAGGTTGGGATATATGGTTATACAGCTTATTCGGCCAGTAAGTTCGGCCTCAGAGGACTGGCAGAAGCACTGCAGCAGGAAGTAATTGGTGAAAATATTCACGTATCACTAATATTTCCCCCGGACACTGAAACTCCTGGATTTGCTGAAGGTTGGACCTGAACAAATCCTACTCTGTTTCTTCTGGTTGTTATCACTACATGTCACAATGCACAAATTACTACATGTTTGGGGGACAAACACACTGCTTTCTGCTTGCATCATGTTTGTCTATCTTAAAAAAAGAAGGTTATCATAAATAAAATCTATGTAAAAGAAAAATTAATAATGTAATATCACCATACCCAGTTGGAATCCACTAATGCTAAATGCTATGATCTACCTCTGAATCTAAGTTGATATGTTAGTTATATATCCTTTTCCTTAAATCTCTTTTTCTTTATCCTCCTTCAGAGAGCACAAAATTGTCTGGATCAAGCAAGTTGATTAGTTGACAATAAAAATGATGATAGCACTGATCTTTTAACCAATTATTGAGAACTGCAGGGGATAGCATAAAATGTTTAGCCAATTTGTTCTTTATGTTTGTAGGAACAAAGCCAGAAAACATTTGTTGATGTACTGCACATATTAGCTATCCTTGTGGCAATTCAATAGGTTATGTAAAATTTTGAAATGCCATGAAGTGTTAAATGCTACATTTCGGTGTCTTTAGATCTATCTAGATAATACAGGTCTAGAACAGTTTGAAGCTTAATGTGTATAGTCTCTGCTTCGTTTTACTATAAAAGAATGTGATGTCAAGGGGTTGACATGCTTATGCGAGTTATAGAGTTCCTTTGTTATGATATTTAGGCTGTCATATTGTTTTCTGTTTCTTTTGTATATTTTGGTTTCTCAGTTTTTTCTTTATATTCTATTTAATACGGACTATATGTAACTGCATTTTTTTGTGCGAACCTGCTTAGTGCTCTTTCTATCTTAGTTAATAGTACATTATTTACCAATCCAAATAAAAAAAAAACTTTGATAAATGCACATGGAGATCTGATGCACTAATATTGAACCTTGGGAGATATCAACATCGTTGTGTGTGTTGTACCCCCAAAAAGTCATGTGCACAATGTCGAATGTACCCGATAGGTGCTTGAACTTACCTGATTGATAATCAGTTTACATTTGCAATAATTTAAGTTTAATCCTTCTGCAGAGAACAAGAGGAGGCCAAAGTTGACTAGTATATTAGCAGCTTCTTCTGGTTCCATGAAAGCTGATGAAGTTGCAAAAAAAGCTTTGAATGGCCTTAAATCAGGAAACTTCATTGTCCCCTGCAACTTTGAGGGATTCTTTCTTTCCCTAGCAACCTCTGGTCTATCTCCTCAGAGATCATTCCTGATGGCATTTATCGAAGTGATAGCAGCTGGAATTTTACGTGTTGTTGGTCTATGTTTCCAGTGGAATTGGTATGGTAGCATCGAGAAATTCCTTGAAGAAAGGAAATAGAGAATAACTACTAAACAGATTCTAACAAATAATTCTATCAAGAATTGATAGTTTGATCGAACAAACGCATTTCAACCTGATAGTTATTACAGAAACCGAACTTTTTCATAATGTCTTGTGTACCCCTAGGCTGTCCAATTTCCATCTACTTCTGTGGAAGTGAACTAAAGAAGCAGTTTTGGTTCCTCTTTGATTTTATGCATCCAAGTGTTTGTGGATACTTTGTCCACTAATTGAGAAGTTTTTTCTATCTAGTGTACATGGAGTTCATAGATTTCTTGGTTAACTGATAGAACTGTATGTTATCTATCAACTGCTATTAGCTATGCTTATGTAACACCTCACAACTTTTCTCTTAGAATTTGAATCGTTCTTCTGAAGTATATGAGCTTGAACCAGGTGATATACTACTTATTCATGTGTTTAAAGGTGTGTTACCAAGTGTATCAAGGGTATCGGAAATGATTTATGGTCATTAGAGAACTTGAAATGACCATATTTTTCTGTATATAAAGAATTACGTGGACCATGACCAATCAAATTAAAGGTCTATGAGTCTAAAAAAACTGTCTTGAATTCCTCTTTAATTCTATACATTACCAAGTGTTTCTGGAAACTTTGTCCACTAATTGAGAAGTTTCTCTATCTACTGTGCTTGGAGTTGATAGATTTCTTGGTGAATTGATAAAACCTTTGTACCAAAACTCTTTGATAAAAATAAGACATCACTTTAGAACATTCATAAAAAGAAATTGAACAAGCTTGCTAAAGATGGAATAAATAAGAAAAAGAAGTAGTCATTGTGCCTGTGACTACTACTTTATAAGCACATATTCTTACTTCAATAATGTTGAACAAACACATTGTATTCCACAATAGCATCTCCAGTGTTGACATCAAACCAGAAAGTATGAGCCAATGCATAGCCTCTAGCAAACCTAAAGAGTCCAGTGCCTCCAACAATAGGCATCTCTCTAACATCTCTCATAAATGGATTCCTCCCAAGAATACTTATGCTGCTCCCATTATACTTGCCTTGTGTAAACTCAAAAATCATTGTCATAAGCAACACAGGTTCGCTCTGTGAAGCCATCGCGTAAATCCCTTGAGCCCTTCCAATAACCTCACTTGATGCATTAGGCCCTATGGTTAGTGCATCATCACACATGAAAGTTTTGCCAAAACCATATATTCCTCCGCCACCCGGTGAAACTATTTTGATTGCTGAAGGATGTTTTCCACCTTGGATATCATGGAAGTAGAAATGGAGGTGACTTGTTTTTTGACTTCTTAAATTCATGGCTTGAATATCAGAGATTTCTTCATGAAAAACTCCATTGGACAAGAGGATCAATGAAAAGATTATGGAAAGAATGTACACATGAAAATAAGCCATTTTTTGAAATAGGAAGTTAATTTGGTTAGATAAAAGAGCAAGTGAGGGAGATTTATATAGGGGAATTAGTAAAGCATGGTGATCATTATTTCTATTTTCTTGGTGAAGATGTTGATATTTTTGTATATCTCATTGTTGTTTGAGTACATGTGGACCTTTGAAAATTAAATTAAGTTTGCTTGATGTGAAAGAAGATAACATTCTTTCTCCACGTTTGATTTGATACACTCTAAAAAAAAATAGTAATAAAATAATAATGTTATTATATCGTCACGAATTAAAATTTGATAAAAAGGTAAAACAAGTATACCATGGTAAATTATTTTTAGTTTTTTTCAAATTAAATAAATAAAAGTGGCTATTTATTTTTTGATATAATGAAAAAGTAAAAATTGAAATTATATTTATGAGATGAAGTAAATTCTACTCTTAGCCAGGCGTGCCTGTGGCTTTCGTTACCAATAATTATAAATTAATAATGCATGTGTTTCGCCCTCCCAACAATTTCTCTTGAATGTTCATGTGTCCTCTCATCATTGATGTTGCAATGATCCACAGTTCAAACTTTTTGGGCAAGGAAAGGGAAACGTGGGAGGACATTATAAAGCGGAGAATAGCTCAGTGTATATGATCAGATTAGTTTGAGTTTTTCAAATATCAAATTAAATTATTTTTAAATTTATAAAATAAATTAAACTAATAAAATTTTGATTTTTTTGAGTTTTTCAACCTCGTATTAGTTCGGGGTTTTCAAATATCAAACCAAACCATTGTGCCGAATTTTTTATTTTTTAAATCAAATCAAATAATAAACCTTGATTTTTTTTTTCAATACCAAACCAAGTCAAATCAAACCACTAGTCAGATTTTTTTTCTATCGAATTGACTCGATATGTTGTTTTATTTGATTTTCGAGTGAGTCACGTCGCTTTTAAGCCAGTAGTATCATCAATAATGACTAGTGATGGTGACAGTTGACAACTAATCGTGGTGATTCACTATATGGTGGTTATCATATGTTATGGTTGAATTATGCAATATTTTTTATATCCATGTGGACACATATTAACCTTTAAAATACATTATTAAATAGTGCAGGAATGTAAAAGATCATTTTCAAAGTTTGATATAGTAATAATAATTTCGATTAAAATTCAAATAAATTTCAGATAATTTTACCTAAAAATTCAGAAGTAATTCCAAAAATGACTCAAAAATATTCTCTTTTACCTATAGTATCAAAAATTATTCCTCATATTTCTTTTCGGGCTTTGAAATTGCCTCTTCATTAATCACACAATTGTATTTAATTAATTTTTAGGAAAAATAACGAAAACTCCTCCCTTAGGTTCACTTATTACCCTTATCCTCTATTAGTTTTAAAAATATTTAAAATCTCTCATTTAAAAGTTAAATGAGGCGGATACAAAAATGTGATAAATAGAGGCGGATACAAAAATGTGACAAAAAATGAGGCGAATACAAAAATGTGATAAAAAATCAGACGGATACAAAAATATAAAAATGAGACGAATAAAAAAATGTGACAAAAAATGAGGCGGATACAAAAATGTGACAAAAAATATATAATCTATCTGACACCTTTTTATTGTATCAGCCCTATTATGTACCCGTGTTTTTGTATATTTTTGAGAAATTTTGGTCATTAGAAACTTATAAGGGACAAATGGTCATTTGGCCCTAAAAGTATGTCATTTGTCGTGATTTTTAATCGAACATGTGAATTTTTTTATTTGGTCTAAATAAAATCAGGGTTGTTCATGGTTATGGTTAACAACCAAATCAAACTGCATTTCAAACCAAATCGATTTAAAAAAAATCGATATTTGATTTAGTTTGGTTAGGTTTGATTTTTAAATTTTAAAAACCGATATTATTTGATTTGCTTTTGGTTTTACTAAATACAACCGCAAAAACAACCAAACCAAACCGATAAATTAGATATATAAATTTTATAATTATGTATATAATATTCATAAATAAATAAAAAATATATTGTTAAATTTTAGTCGACTTAAGTCTTTGACTTTACCAATTTCTCAAGCCCAATACTTTAGCCCAAGTATAACAATCTCAAATTCAAGTCCATCAAAATCCATTTTTGTCTTTACCTACTATACTTCACATAAAATAGTAACACTTTCTCTTAAATGAATCGCTTTGTTAGTGTAATGAATTGCTCAATTGCTTGACTAAATCAACATTATTTTTCTGTAGATTGTTCATGTACTTGGTGTTTGTATCTATCGAGATACGTACTTCGTTAAAAAAATTATTACTTTCAAATCGAATAAACCAGAAAAACTGCACCAAACTGAACTAAACCGACAATAACGAAATCGATGGTTATTTTTTCGTTTGGTTTGATTTGGTTTTAGAAATTTGAAAAATTGACTAGATTAATTTAGTTTTGATTTTAATCAATAACCAATCCAAACCGAACCACAAACACCCCAAAATAAAATGATAAAGATTTGAACTGACTTATCCACAATCCAATATAAAGAAAATATTTTGAATTAATATGGCTAAGTGATAAAATTATTATTTCATATCTCGTATTCAATTTTAATATTTATACAAATTTTCTCTTATTTAGAAGAAACATTTACAAAAGTTTCAACATGTATGCTTAATGTAATTTATTTTTAAATCAAGGATATTCTGGTCATTTAACCTATAATCAATATGTGTTAATTTGTCTTACGTGTCATGTATTGTATTCTTTTAATGGATACGTAACATTCTTTTTCATACTTGTATTACTTCTGTGTTCTGTCTGTGTCTCAATGTGCTCTCATCTCCATTTGCTCTCTTTTGTATAATTTTTTTTATTTTCTTTTGATTCTCTTCATTTGATAATTTCTTAGGAAAGAAGTCCCACTTTGATTATTGTGTCTCTAATTAAGCTTGATTGAGATACAAATCTGCAGAATTATTTTTCCCTTGTTATGAATAATGTCGGAATTTTATTATTTACATCTCTTTGATGATTTTTTTTCTAAGTAATTTTTATTTGATCTCAGAATTATTTTATTTTTGCGATTTTGAATTTGTGAAGTTGACTATTGATATTTTGTTGTTTATCCTTGTTTTTTTCTTGGCAATTGCAATTTTTACAGGCTAATTCTCTGTTCGTGTGACTATATAATATTTCAATTAGTAAGTACTATTTTCATATCAAAATTGGATTTGTACCGATATAGTACGTTTATAATTCCGTATGTTAACCAATGGTAAAAAGGTGATTTTAAAAAATGTGTAATAAAACAAAACAAATAGATCAAAGCTTGAAAAAAACAGTGAAAATGAAACAAGCTAAACGCCGTGAACTATAATACTATACAAGCTGATTGATGAGGAAAAAATTTCCTTTGTTGAAGCAAAAACAAATAAAGCTTAGTTGAATAGGACTTCAAGCAAGGAAAATAATTGGGGACTTCAAAAAAGGTACAACACAGTTTTAGAAAACAAAAAAAAAGAAAATATAATTGGAGATTAGATAATTAGTCCCTTTACATTATCTCAAATACTTTGCATATTTTAAGCTCAAACTCAAAGGAAATAATTAATTAGTATCTTAGTGACTTGAGGAAGAACCTCATTAGAAGATAATACACCACCAAAAGAATTGACTATTTTGTCAACAATGACTCATCAAAGGTTGAGTAAATCCTTTGCATTAGTATTTAGTAATGTAATATAGCTAAGTAAAATTTAGGTAGGTAAGTGAAAGCTAGATAGTTAAGTACTTCTCATGCTAGATATCGAATTTTTTTTAAAATGGAGCTCAAATATTTAATTTTTAGCTTATAGCTATTTTGTTTACATATCACTCTTTTGCTTACAATTACTCTTTGTATTTTAATTTCATTGTGGAATATGGATAGAGATACCTTTTGCTACGTTATCGAGGATATAATTGATTTATGTATATTTTTTTATGAACTTAAAAAAATCGAAATATTAAATCTATACTTATATTTACGCGTAACAACTAATCATGATTCAATCATTTTTTCAATCTAATATTTTTATGAATACTAATCTCTCTTCTCTAACCTAATGTAACAGATCTCAATGTTAGGATCAAAAGACCACATAACTAAGACTAAACGTTAGTTATCCTCCGAAGCATTCATTTTTTTTAATCATGTAATTGAAATGTATATACTTATTTTGTAAACTTGGCTCCTTAATATATCATCAAACAATTAAGTAATATGTACAAAATTTATCAATTATACGTCTTGCACTTTATGATACGGAATAATAATTTAATTTTTACTAAATATCAAATTTTGGTATAATATTTTTTATGTTGGGCCCGTATTACGATTTTGATATAATGTATTTCGATCCCCCAGTAAAGAAAGAAAAGAGTGATGAACAAATTAAGATGAAGTGAGTAGGAGTATTCTGCTGTATAATTCTTCTTCTGCTCTAAAAGTTGTAGCCAATTGCAAGATGCGGTGCTTTTGGAAGGGTTTATATGGGGGATGAATGTTGATTCCAGAGAGTTACCCACTCGCATAGTCGGAGGTAAAATTTCCGCTTTAACTTCTTCTTTGTCAACTTTTTTTTTCCTTATCACTGTTGGAAAAGGAAATATGTGTTTTTATGCTGCTGAAATTCCGGATTTTCCAAATTGAATGTTATCTTTTGCTGCTAATGGTGTTTCAATGGGAAGTAAGAGATTTTGATTGACGTAATAGCTTAATGTTGTTTCTTATCTCTTTAGAACGAAAATTGAGTTAAATTGTTGCATAAATGTTAAACTAGTTAATTATGGATTGTGTTTGATCAATTTCTATTGTTCCGTTTTGTTATATTTTTCACTAAAGGTGATTGATTTCCATCAGATATGAATGAAATTCTTTTGCCTTCCAAATTGTGGTTTAGTTCAGTTAACAATTTTGGACGTTGTTCACAGCTTTTCACATCAGAAGTATCACCAAATATTCTCCTCATACCCTATATTCCACCTTGTACAATCATCATATGTCACTTACTATTTTACCCAACAAAGTATAGAAAGTGATCCAAAAATGATTTCTTAAGACAAAATTTAAAGAAGAAATTTCCCAATGCCAAGTACATTAGTTACTTTTTCCTGATAAATGACGTTGTGAGTTCTACGTCAAGGATCCTGGCTTCTTGCTTTAAGAAATCTCAGTGGGTGCAACCTGAGAACTTGACAATTTTAAGAGTCTGACTCATGTTTGGGGAGCTTGAAGAAGACCTGGATATTTTTAAGTTATGTTGCTCGGGCTCTTCCAAAATGTCGACGTGTGCGTGTCGGATCCTCCAAAGTAGTGTAACTCTGAAGTATCCGACACAGGTCCGGCATCATTTTCGGAGAGTCCGAGTAACTTAGTTTTTAAGAATCTCTCTCAAGTTAGGTAAGGTGTATGATGAAAGTCGTTTTACTGTTCTATTGCTTTTTGCTTCTCAGAGATCCCGTTATTTCTTTTTTCGGCTTGCTTTAAAATGTTTTTCCTTGTGTCGAGGGTCTACCAGAAACAATCTCTCCACCTCCCATGCAGGGGTAAGGTCTGCATACATTCTACCCTTTTCGGACGCAACTTTTGGAATTACACTGGGTATATTGCTGTTGTAGTATTGTTTCTCAGACATATCTGAGAACTGCAAGAGAGGCATAATCATTAAATATATTGCTAGAATTTGTTCCTGAGGGTTCAATCCTGTCATTTTTGGGAAAATTTGAATATTTCCCTGAATCTGTTAGTGCTTGCTACTATAGTCACTCAATGAAACAAGGGAGGTTAAACACCTGGTTTTGTTTCCTTTTTCTTATTTATTTAATAATAAACTTATTTTTGTGGGTTGTTTGGCTGATAAACTAGTGAACATCAACTTACCTTTCTGTGATCTTTCGCTTTCCATCTGTACCATTATTTGTTTATTTCCATATGCCTTAACATTATGCAACTGGAACTAGAATTATGCTTATTGGAACACAATGTTGCCTTTGAAATTCCTGAAATCTTCTTGTTCCATCTTTTGTTTGGCAAATCAGGTTATAAGAATGTATACGGTGCAATTATTAAGGACTAGAATACTTGCACTGTTGCACAAGAATGGAATTATGCACATAGATATTAGGTAATTCTTTCATTCAATATTGTTAATTATTGGATATCATAACTTGCTTTACTCCATTCAGGAATCTCCATTGCATACTGAATCAATGAGATGTGTGTTTCAATTCATTTAGGGAGCACACATACCAATTTACATTAAAGGTTGCCTTAAACTATCTTTGAATTTGGTGTATGAAAGAAGGTTGTTGAATTGGTACGGGCATTTCTGGCTTCGCTGCCTTATGCATTTTGTTTTTGCTTCTTAGAGATATTTATTGACAACTGAATTGCCTAACTGTTTTAGGCTTTCTATTTATATGACCCTTACAAAGTCAATGAGGGTACGCCATATTGGATGGCTCCTGAAGTTATTCTGCAGACTGTCCATAGCTTGTCAATTGAAGTACAATTATCAACTTATTTTTTCGTATCACCTAAAGCCATGAAAGTTCATATATATTGACAGTCTAGTGTAAATGCCCTTGCTAGTAGTGGTTTTTTGTTTGGGGGGTGGGAGTGGTTGTACATCATATTACTAATGGAGGCCTGCTTTTGTGAGTCAAACCCCTGACCCATATTTCACAATTAGGTGGTCTACATTTCTGTGCTAATCTTCCACCCTCATGTTTCAATACCTGGGACACATATGTCACTGAGGTTTTATTTAACAGCTTGAACTCCAAATATGATTCCCATATGCATCACAGTTAATAGTAGAATTGCATCATATTCAGAGGCATTGCACTGCTAGTTATCAACTATTAGGTTCTAAACCTTCGTCATATAAAAGAATGCAGGCATAAATAACTAGTTTATCAACAAAACTTGTCTGGTCCAAACTCCAAAGTGTTTTGACTGACAAGAAAATAGAAAGTACAACATGTTTGAAGTTTCTTGTATTTTTCTGAAGTTTGATTAAACTAGGAAGTACTAGGCAGTAGAGCGTAAGCCTACACTATTAAACTTCATTGATAACCATATTTCAAAAGAATTTTAGAACTTTGAAGGAAAATTTTGACTATTCACTTCTTATTATTGTTTTAGGTTTTCTTTTCCCATCCAAATGAAAAGGTGCAAGGTCATTTTATTAGTCTTAATAAATATGAATGATCAAGATATATTACAAAATGAACTCATATGTTCTTATTAAGATTAATCTAAATATTAATATGTACATTAGAATATAGAAGTATAATTCCTAATACATATCTAAATATTTGTAAATTAGGATATAGAAGTATGATTCCTAACACATATCTAAATGTTAAAATATGAATATTAAATAATTTAAGTTGTTTGTCTTCTCAACATCTGAATGTATAGAAGTTGTCTTTTATTTAAAATTATCCCCTCTGTCCCAATTTGTGGGACACAGTTTGAACTTCGAGAGCCAACTATTATATGGTGATGATAGTTGATGGTGATGATTATAAATGGTAGCTAGGGGTGATGACAGTTGACTGTGGTACACATAGTAAAAAAGCTACCACATCACTGGAAAAGTTGACTAAGGAAGCAAATAAATCTGAGCAAACAACTAAGGCTCTTGATTTTGTACCTTTGGAAATCATGGTGCCTTTAAGTAATGAGCAATTGGTTGGTGAAAAAGAAGCACATGAGAATAGCGGTGAATAGTCAGGCAAAGAAGAAAAAAATGAGTGCAACTGAACAGTCGCGTGAAGAAGAAGATAAAGACAACTATGGTTGATGATTTGAAGAAAACTTGATCATACTACAAGTGAGAATTCATCTAAAGGAGAAGAATAAAGAAATGACAGCACATCAGCAAAAAATATGGTTGAGGGTTCAATGGCAGCTACATTAGAAAGAACAGAAAACAGATAAAAACAACATGATTAAAAGGGATGTCCGATGAGCAGCTGTAATGATGTTGGTGGCTATGATAATTTTATAGGTACTGTGTACTCAAATGATGACTGTGATCCTGAGGCTCTTTCGCTTCCAGTAATGCATCAAGACTATTGACATGAAAAGTATGGATTTTAAGACCCACTTGAATGTGTCTATGCCTTATTATTCATGGTCACTGTGAGTGTCAACTTTGGAACTCGATTTGTTGAGTTTAAAAATGTTTTGATCAGTTAGGGTATTAAGAAGGATATTTAAAAAAAACTTGTTTTGGTCACTTTTTAGCCTTGAACAAAGATATGGAGCTACAACTCCCACAGAAGCTGATGTGTAGCCTTCTTCTTCGCGGAGTCTTTTGTGAAAAGAAATAGTAGATTTGGTGTGGTTACAGTGACTTGCATTTTTGGGATCAATGTATCATGATTGAACTCTTATGTGATTCTGTAACCCCTCCCTCCTTTAATTAGCAATTAACAAAGATTGGAAAAAAATATATGCAAATTTGGTTGATATAGTGGAGAAGTCTATTCAGCTCATTTTGAATAGAAAGGATCCAAAGCTGACAAAAAAGTAACCGATGGTAGTGAGCGGTTTGGTTCTTGCATAATATATTGTGTGCAAAAGATGCAAAAAAAAATAAATAGACATCAACGTGTAAAAGATGGCTTCGAATAAAAATATATTCGATAAAAATTCATGGGAATCAAATAAGTTTCAATCTTACTATTGAATATCTTTTTGAAAGAATTGAATCCATCCAAGATCTAATAGAAAGTGATCTACTTATACTCTTGGATGAATTCAGTTCTTCTAAATGATTTTCAATAGAAAGATTGAAGCGCATTTGACCCCATGGATATGAAACAAATACAGTTTTATTCGACACCACTTTTAACCAGTCGATGATTATCTTTTGCACATAATATGCTATGCAAGAACCAAACCACACTCACTGCCACCTTTTTTTTCATCATCCTTGGATTCATCATCTTTTCAACTAGTACAATAGACTTCCCCACTTATCGACCAAATTTGCACCCTCTTTTTTCAAAATTTCTGCTTACTGTTGACTAAGGGGTGTAGGGAGGGGAGAGTGAAATTGGAGTCTACTCATGACAATGAATTCGTTAATGCCAGAACAAATAACGGCAATCATTCTAGATTTTCTTTTTCTTTTCACAGAAGACTCAGCACAAAAAAATGCTATGCATCAACTTCAATGGAAGGAGCTACATCTTTTTTCAAGTTTAAAGTGACTAAAACAAGTTTTTCTAAATTTCTTCTCAACATCCTCACTGATCGAAACCTATTTAAACTCAACAAAGTGAGTTATAAGCAGACTCTCGCAGTGACCCTTGAATCATAAGGCCCAGACATGTTTAAGTGGGGTCTTAGACCCATACTTTTTTATGTCAATGATCTTTACGTATTACTGGAAGCAAAAGTGACTCGGGATCACTATTATCTTTTGATGATTACCCTTAGAATTCTTTTTGTTCTGCAGCTGAGTCCTTCCTTGTTGTATGTTCAATGCTTTCTTCTCTAACTTTGATCACCACCTATGTCATCCGTTTTCATCTTCTTCTTCACCTGACCACTCGTTGCAAATCCACCACTTTTTTTCTTCACCTGATTGCTCATTATCAACTGCTCATTTCTTATAGGCATCACAATTTCCAAAGGTACATGACCAAGAGCCTTAGTTAGCTTTTCAACGTGAAAGACCTCGGAATCACTATTATTTACATTTCCAAAGGTTCGTTTGCTCAATTCCTGTTTTACGTTATAATGACGTGATATTTTCTTGCAAAGAACCTTGATTTAAAGAAAACCCAGGATTGAGCCAATATATTTTTTTAAACTACAATTATACATTTACACAGGCCCAAGTTCTGATCATTCAATAGAATATAATAAAGATCATATAATGCACAAACAAGATATAGCAGTTAAGTACAGGCCAGATCTCAATTATAACAAAAATCAAATAATGTCACCAACAGAAGTACGAAAACATGGAGCACAAAGGACAGTTTTCAGGGCCTCAAAAGCATTTACTTTTCCTTTGTACGGGTATTTCAAGTCTTTTTCTTTAATCATCTCCTATTTTACTTATAGAAAATCTAAAGATGTGCTTATGCTGTAGAGTTAATCCTGACACGAGAACTGCCGAAGCTGGTTTGGAAGATATTTGCAAGTTTAGCAGTGAGAGGTGCTCTAGTGTGTAATCGGAGAACTTTTTAAGGTAAGAGTAACTATGGAATCAACCAATCTCAAAAAAAAGGGAACTTTGGAATCATGGAAATTCTGATAATGAAAAGTGTCAGTAGATGATGATATTATGTTTTGATGCATCTGTAAAGTTTGGTTCATATTTTCTTTCCTGTGATGATATTACTATATATATCGTTTCCCTTTGTCTCGGTAAAGAGTATGTTTGCGTGAATGACTAAGTGAACTAAAGTTGCATCTGCATATTTCTTGAACGTAGAGTTTTAACCCTACCTGTGAACCTGGTGATGATTGGTCCTGCAGATGTGATGAATGTTTGAGTTGACAAGAAGTTGATAAACATTCTTTATAGTCAAGCTATCAAGAAGCCTGGTTATAGTTCCACGTGTCAGACAAAAAAATAGATGCATTCACTGTTTCATGTCACTTATCAGCAGCTGAGGATGATGATTTAACAGTCATAAGTTAGAGCATCCCTGGATGTGAAAAGGTAGTTGTTTCGTCAATGTGTCTATTCATAATTTCACCAGCGATGAAACTAAAATTACTTGGGACTTTCAGATCTATTGTTTCTTCTACAAGGGGAAATACTGTTGCCTGTCTAGTGTTTCGCATTGCTGAAGTTCTCTAGGGGTAGACCTGAAGAAGTTACAAGCAGCATTGTGTGGAGAATTCTACATTTATTGAATGCCTCCACCAGTAAGTGTACCCTAAAGCGTCATCCTAATTAGTTTGGTATCGCTTATGTAATTCCTCTACTTACATTGTGTTATATTCTTTTGCTAAATCGCATGAATTCAAGAGATTATAGGTCTTTTTAGATAACTTTCCAACATGTATCTTAGGTTGAGCGTAATGCAAGTTATTTACCCAGAATACAACTCCATTAGCATCTAGCATCAACTTTAAAGATCCCAAGACTCAATATTATGTACAATGACATAGATAGCTCAGAGCCACTGACTGAATTTCAATCCGTTTCTCACCATCTAATCTCAGTCTTTACTTTCTTCTATTCTTGCATAATGATTTCATGAAGGGTGCTAGTATTCGTCAGAGTTCTTATTAATTTTAATTAGTTCTCACAATCTTATCTTATCCTGTAATATGGATGATAATGATTGCAAGGAATGATCAGAATTGTACTTACAACTGTCATGTATACTCGACTGTGTCTTGTGATCAGTGATTTTCTGTGTTTGGTATAAAAGTGTGATATTTAGTGATTGTACTCATTTCTTTGACCCTTTTATTCATGTGCTATCATATAGTGACTGACTGAATTTAAATATTTATCCATCCTGTAAGCTCCTTCCCTGAGATTTCATTTGCATTTTGCAGAAGCGACTTCCTTGATGAGAACTGTTTGATGGAGAAAGAAATTCCCTTCTTTCATCAACTGAACAGTATTGACAAACATTATCCTCCTCTTAGCAAGTTGTTATGATGGTGACTCCTTTTTAATCGAGGTACTCCATCTACTTAATAATTTTGGCAGACTGCATTTTGCTTTCTTGGAGTCACTCTATTGTTCTCATTTTCCCTGAAACTTCTGCAACCATATGCTCCCGCACCCTTATTGTGAAGGCTTACAATTTTGACGTATGAAGTTTCTAAGGTTCAACGTTTCATACTGCAGGGATCATGCGTCAGGCAGTGAGGATCCAGTTCTAAATTGATGCAGAAATAGATTCAGGTTTGCATCTCCGGGGAGATAAATGCATGCTGTACGCACTTGTGTATTATTTTTATTTAGTCTTGTAGCGTGAGTATAATGTTCTGAGGTTTCTCATTTTTCAATATGAGATTAGCCTAAAATCATGCATATTTGAAAGTTTACCACCCTAGAACCCTGCAAGTTCTTATCCTTAACCAAGTCTTGTTACATTGCATGAACCCCGTTTAGGGACCAACCTCTTCATTGAGGTTTGCCTCACTATTACACTGTTGCAGACCCTTTTTGATAACATATTGTCACATCCCAAGAAGATAGTACATATTATTTTCTTTGGCCCCTATTTGTCTATGCACTTTGTGTTTTATATAATGTATTTACTTTTCTCTGTTGAATTTGTTTAAAGCATCTTTCACACTCCTTATTCAAAAAATGCACCAACTTAAAAATGTGTTTAAGTCTTCCATTTTTTAACAGCCATCCGTCGGTGGTGAATATCCATATAAAGTTGCACAATAGACAAGTATGAATAAGAAGAGTATGAGACGGAGCACACGTTATCCCTTTTTTTGAGAAAAAAGTATTTTGTTCATATAGAAATAGGGGTATGTAAATTAAGGTTCAAGAAGAAAAAAGTATGATAATACTTTTGAGTTTTAAGCAAGTATAGTTATATGTTTGAATTGTTTTTAAAAACTTGAAACCAAAGTGAACTCATAAAAGCGAAATCTAATTAAATGTCTTTTAGATTACAATTCTAAAGTTAATAATCATGTGATTAGGAGGTCAAAGGTAAAAGCCTTGAAAACAACTTTTGACAGAAAGACAGGGCTAAGACTATGTACAATTAGGCTCTTGTGGTCACGCGCTTTCCAAGCTTGTGCATAGCGAAAACTTTAGTGCATCGCTGACTTAAAATAATAATTCTAAAAGTATTAGATTGAGATATTGATTTTTTTTTTCTACATGGTATCTGAGCCAAATTTAAGTAAGCTCACTTTCTCTTATGATGTTCTATGTCTTTTGACTTCTTTTTCTTTCAAGAAAAAAGGGAAAAGGGGTATAGCCTATAACATCTTATTACAATTGGCTTTCTTAGATATCTTCCTTTATGCAATTAGAAAATAAATTATAAAATTTGTCACACCTCCCTTTTGGGTTGTCAACAAAGTCTTAGGAAGTATGCTATACACATAAGCTTTGTCAAAAACCACCACCAAGAAAAAGAGAGGAAAAAAAGGAAATCTATATATTCTAAATCTACTTTTGATGTCCAAAATTAGTGGGAATAGTATATCTAAACTCATAATTTTAGAAATACGATAACCTTTGTTTATAAAGATGAAGATGAAATTAAAAAAAGAAGTTTAAATCATATATGTAAACGTTCCTAGAGAATTAAAAGGAGCAAAGCAATATCTCAAAAAGTTTTAACTTTTAAAAGTTGAAAAAGTTGTAGTTCAAACATCTTAATGAAGGAAAAATTAAAGGATTATTAAGTATCCTCATTTTTAATTTTAAAGTAATTAAAACAATATAGAGATGTGACGATTTCATTATATACTCTTGTTTTTTCGGTGGAGCACTTATTTCACATGCTAGTATTTGCTATCCCAAATCCTACTTTTATTTTAAAGCAGTTTCAAATTAATACACTATTATAAGAAGAGGTTGTTCGAATGATAATTATCTTTCATCTTTAATCTTAAGCAAGGGTGCAATTACCTTGTACGGGGTTCATCCGAACCCCTTTCGACGGAAAATTATATTATATATTTATATATGGTTGAAATAAGTTTATATGTATACATAGTAGATTTCGAATCCCTCTCGACTATCTATTTCTATAGATTTTGAACCCCTTATTAAAAATTCTGACTCTGCCTCTGATCTTAAGATTGTTGATTCAATTAACAATAAAAAAATGAATCTTTCGAAAGAGTAAAAGAAAGCTAGGTCAAAGGAGATATTTTAGTATGAGGTTACAAGAATCTCTAGTCATATTATTATTACTTTAATTTAGATACCACTCGTGATAATAAAGTGAGGCAATCACTAATTGTCCATTTAACAAAAATTCCAGTTACACCCCAAATTTTCCTGTTATTTGTTTGAAATTTTGAATCTATAAAGTATAAATACATCACAAGAAAAGTTGTGTTTCACATCCTACTTTTATTCCCTTTTTGAATCCTGTCTTGTTGGATTCTATAACATGTCTCTGTCCACTTCTATCGAATTCTAAGAGTTATGTGTCATAAACATATTTAAATTATTCTACTATTTTTTAATATCTGAACTATTAGGTTAGTTAGTTTTCTATCTGAACTATCATCAAATGTTTATCAATTACCAATTGTTCATTTTTCCTACTTTAAAACTGATGATATTCCATATAGAAAAAGTAAACAACTGATAGTCATTTCCAAAAATATTTGATGATACAGATCAGATACACACATGGTTGTTCGATATGAAACAAAAAAAAACGTTCACACACTTGATTCATTATATGATTATTATGGTTTATCACTAATTGTTTGATATCCTCTATCGACCCGACTAATACGATTTTGATTTGCATAAAGATTTGAAAAACTAATAAATTCACTTATATAAATACGATTGTAAATTTCTTAAAGGGAAAAGGATCAAAAATGCTCTTAAGGTATTAGAAATGATTCAAAAATATCCTCTTTTCATCTATTGGATCAAAAATACCTTTCCATCCACCTATTTAGATAAAAAAAAAAGCGCTTAGGAAAAAGAGTGGCCCAAATCTTTTGCAATTAGACTTTACTTGTTGGCTGTGACATTTGTCTCAACCAAATAAAAATGAAATGTTCACACTTGTAAGTTTTAGTGTCTTGATATTTTCATGCTATAATATTCTTTTTAAGATCTCCTAATATTTTGCCATGTTGGGTGGTAATTTCCTTCTTTAAACTTTGATGGCGCCTAATAATGCTCCCAATTTTAGCATCATTTACGTTCTTTTGGTCCAACATTGACGCTAGAATATTCATCCAAGAATTATGCACCAACAACGACGTTTAACACACCATAGTACCGATATATATATATATATCAAATTATCGTTACGATATCAAATTTTATGAAGGACATTTTATTTCTGCATTATTTAATAGTGTTAAAGGTATATATGTGTCTGCGTGGACATCATAAATATTACATCATTTTAAATAGTAATGTGTCCACGTGGGCATATTTATACACGTCAACAAAAACAACTTTTAGCAGCATTAAATATTGACACTAATAAAGAGTGCTAACTTTTTTACAGACATTAGTTAAGTGTCATTAGAACCAATATCGCGAAATGTTTTAGGGACATATATAAAGAGTGACAATTGCAGCTAAAAATACATATTTAGCGGCAATTTTTAGATGCAATTATAAATCAAATGCCGCTAATGATCATTTTTGTTGTAGTGATACCTTTAAATACACTTATAAAAAGTGCCCGGAATAAAAGGTCCTCCATCAAATTTAGTATCGTATCAAAAATTTTGGTTTGATTGTCAAAGAAAATGGCAATTTTAATTAGAATTGGAATATTTTTCGGACTTTTTCCCCTTTTCAATACAATTTGCTCAGTTTATTACTTGGGTCGTGTCACACTCCAAAATAACCGTGGCAAGTTGGAAATAATTACTCTACTGCCTATAAGTTAGCCTATTTGGCCAAGATCAATAATAATAACATATTTAGTGAAAAATCTCACAATGTGAGTTCAGAAAAGTAGAGTGACACAGGTCTTATCATTATTTTGAGCAGATAGTGAGACTATTTCAAAAAATTCTCGACTAATGTATCAAATTCAAGTAATAGTAGAAAAATACTATAAAGAAACACATAGCAATGAAATAAAAAAAGCAATGTATAGTCGATAAAAGAAGCAATAAAATAGTATGATATTAATCGAAACTAAATGAACAACATATGACGATAGATACCAAAGCAAGAACTTGCTATAAATGTACGACTAATACTACGACAGGTATTAACAAATTGAGAGACATGAAGTAAACATTTAAAAGCAATTAC